TTAATGCTTTACGGTCACACCCCAACACCCAAAGCCCTACACCCTAAACCCTAAACCCTAAACCCTAAACCCTAAACCCTAAACCCTAAACGCTTGGGTTTAAGGCATGGGGCAGGCTCGGAGGAGGTTCCGGCTTTGCGATCTCGACCTACCTTTCCTTACCGTTGGGGTTGCAGTTGAGGCTTTAAGGGTTTGGGGTTTAGGGTTTAGGGTTTAGGGTTTAGGGTTTGAGGCTTTAAGGGTTTGGGGGTTTAGGGTTTGGAACTGTGGGGTTTAGGATGGTTAAAGTTTTGGCGTCTTGAGGTTTAGGGTCCGTGGTTATATGTACAGCCACCTGAAAAGCCCAACTCAACTGCGAAGAGCATTCAGAAAGCTTCTGGATAAAAGAACGCTGTTCACATAAGGCAAGCTTCACAAGCGAGTTTGTGTGGAGCTACGCAATTCTATTTTGGGGCTTCCTTATTATAACTATAGCATAATGAACCCCAAAAACCGTATTCTAATTCTAATTATTAAGGCCCCTATGCTCACATGTGACGAACTGCAAGGAACTTGCCAGGGCTCGTCAGCACGCTTTTCGAGGTAGCAAGTCAAGCAATCCGTGGCTTCACCACGTCCTTAAAGGATCTGGGGAGGAGGTATCCATAATAGGGAAAATACCATAATTCCCATTGTTTAGAGTCCTTACAGTAATGCAAGGTTTATGTCATCAACAGTATGGTCATCATGTAAGTAACCAGAGCTCTGAAGCCCGAAGTAGGGCACGAGGACACCCCATGATCCTCCAAGTCGGAAGAGTCTGCTGGCATTTTGCACAGCTTCAAGCGCCGCATCTGCTTGCCAGTGACCTGCTCAAGTCAGCTTAAAGGTTCCGATTGGGTCTGAGAGTCTAAGGCGTAAAAGTTGAAACTCCTGAACTCCTGTTGACTTGCATCCAAGAAATGGGGTTAGAGGTTTGGGAGGTCTTGAAAGTTCAGGGGCTTTGAGGGGCTCAGTCCGGAAGAACCCCATAACATTGTGTAATTGCAGAAACAAGTGTGTGTGTGTGTGTATATATATATATATGCATACATATATATATATATACATAGATATACATATATAGATACACAATGACAGGCAAAGCCAAGATCCAGAAAGTGTTGACACGAATAACTCCGGAAGACTGAGGATGATTGGCAACGTGCCACCGTGGGCAACCGTACGTACGGCAACTTTCTCTACGACATCTGGGGTAACTGCAAGGAAACAGCGGAGAAATTCTGATTTCAGCAACCACCACAGATGCTCCGACAGATCTGTTCTGGTGAAAGCCTATGAAGGTGCCAAGGGACAACAAGATATTGAAAGTTATTTCGGGCTAGCGCCCACTGAGTCTGTGTGATTGCATATGCACCGGCGAATGGCCATGCAACCCCCTGCTGTATCGGAACCTATCGGAAAAACGCCTCCAACCTATCCTCGTCTTCTTTGGCGGGCAGGGTCAAAGGGAAGTCAGTCGCGGCAAGTCCGAAACCTGTTGGCGAAGCTTCGCTTAGAGTGGAAGGTGGGGTTTAGAGTTCGAGAACTAGAGCCTGACGTCTTCTGTTTCGGGTCCATGCCTTTTCACACTGAGATGATGATGATGATGATGGTGGTGATGACGGTGATGAGGATGGTGATGATGGTCTGATGATGGCGATGATGGTGATGGTGATGGTGATGGTGACGGTTGTGATGATAATGACGGTGACGACATTGCCGGTAATGGTGGTGATGCTCTGATGGCAGTTGAGCTCTTTTGCTAGTGCTGCATGTGTGAAGCTTGTCAGCATCACCACAGCAGCTGCAGCAGCACCCACCACCCCCGATACCGTAGCCAGCACCACCAGCGATGCTGCTCCCCAAACCTCAACAATCACCACCACAGGAACCACAGCAGCCACAGCAACACGTAGTTCTAGGACGGGAAAATGAAACATTTAGTATGTACATGTTGCTCATACTCCTTCGTCATCATACCAAGATCAGCTCTGATTTGTGCTGCATTCGTGAATTGACACCAACCCGCCGTGAGCTGCGATGCGCGCCATGCTTGATTGGCCCTGGGAAGTCTCAAACCGAAGTGCTCAATGCTCGTTTGCGGTCACAGATGCATGGAACTTCTCGTGCGCGGCCCACGAGGAACGACTACTCAGATTGGTCTTGCAACTGTGGTAATGCAACAGACGATTGCCCTGCAGTTCGGGCTGAAGTGCGCCGGTGCTGCTCCGACTTCATGTTCAGTCAGATGGCGACGCCAACAGGCAGGCCAGCCTGTTTTCGTGCCAAAATCTAGGGAAGATGCAGTATCCAAACCTTGCGTGCATGCTCCGCACCAGACAATTTGCCTATTCTCGAACCTAGCAGATTTTGGCCTGCAGCTCAGTTGGTCGGATAGCCGAGTCGAGACCGAGCCTGGCGATCTGTTAAATACTGGCAATCTCGAACCACGTGCATGCACAATGCAGAATCCAGAAGAGTCTAAGTGAACACTACAATCAATCGGATGACGTCCTAAACCCTACAAACGTGAAGCGCTGAACAAAGATGAGAAACAGAGACGGAAACAAGTTTCCTTGCAAACTTTCCGCCTTTTCTTCGAACACGCACGCCCTGTCGGAACAGGGAAACCTGACGAACATCAAAAACTTGCAGCTCACAAGCAAAATCCTACTGGACTAAACCCTGCCGAAGCGCACTCCCTGAAACGGAAATGTAGGGGCCTTAATGATTAGAATAGGGCTGGCCCCCTTTATAGTACTACTTTCCGAAGGAGCCCTAAGGAATAATATTGGGAATTATTTAGGCCTCTAAAATAGGCTATACCCTAAACCCTAAACCCTAAACCCTAAACCCTAAACCCAAAACCCTAAACCCTAAACCCTAAACCTATACAGTAGACATTGACGAACCCCAAGGATGGCGACCTGTGCAAATCCTCACTTCATCACCTAATCCATAACCCTTAATTAAGGAATATACCTTAAATTATAGGGCCCTTAATAGAATGATTTAAGGTATATTCCAAAAAAAAAAAAGGGGTATTGGGTTCTCTGGGATCTCGGTTGCCACCCAAGTGATCCCTTGAAAGCAGCGGGAAGTTCGAATGATCCCGCTTCCTGCCCTGACACCCTGAATCAAGTTTAGGGTGTAGTGAGTTTAGGCTTCAGCGTAGACGGCAAACCTTGTTCAGCCTAAACCCCGAAAAAAAACGAACAAGAGGCCATTGCAAGCGAGACCTCCCTCATAGATTTAACTTGACCGTAAAATTAAGTAGAACAGGACTTAGGGTTTAGGGTTGAGGGTGTAGATTTAAGTAGAATAGGGTTCGGTTATGGTAAAACGGTAAAACTGTAAGAGGGGGCCCGCTGGAGAAACCCTTCAAACAACATGTGGGTAGTTCTCTAAATTAGGGTCCCCTTTTCTGTACCCAATATAGTACGGCACCCTTATAAAAAAGGACCCTAAAAGGGACCCTAATTTAGACAACTACCCATGTGAATAGTCTTCTGGAAGGAAAAGACGACCTACCGCCTGAATCCCTCTGTGAATCGGCTTGCACTTCACGATTGGTGCTTCAGGCGGGCCGTAGATGCGACTGGCCAACAGTCTAGGAACATCGCCTCCCAAACGCTAAACCTAAACCCTAAACCCTAAACCCTAAACCCCTAAACCCTAAACCCTAAACCCTAAACCCTAAACCCTAAACTACACCCTAAATCCCCAAAAAATGAACTCTGAACCTTAAACCCGCAACCCTAAACGGCCCTAGACCCTAACTAAGCCCCCAAAGTGCCCAGCACTCGATGCCCTTGCCGAAAAACCCTTCCGAGACGACTAGCCGGGTCTTCTTCTGCTCGGCATACCTTAGGGGCCTTTAATTATTAGAATAGGGTTTTGAGGATTCCTTATTATAGTCGTAGTATAATATACCCCAAAGCCCTATTCATATTATATTACTCCATCTAATTACTGTCGCACAGATGACGCAGGGCTGCAACCCACGCACTCTGCGCCTCTTTAAGAGATGCACCTGTGGTGGCCCCCGTGTGATGTGATCTTTGTGGGCAGGTTGCCGTTGTGGTGGCTTCTCCGCGGTCACCCATCACGCAATGGGAGATACAAATTCGTCTAAGGCAGGGGTGGGATTCGTGGTCTCGCCCGTGTTTCTTGTGCTCTTCTTTGGTCGGATGTGGCAAGGCAGGGATACTCGTGACAGCTGCCGGTTTCAACGCGCAAATCCTGTTCACTGTCAAAAGCAACGGCCCGAGAGCTTCTGGTGACAGCGGTTTAGGGTTTAGGGTTTCCTGCTGGCCTCTGGATCCAGGACATCTTTGCTGCAATGGGGCGTGACAAGACCGGAATCCTCGTGAAAGTTGTGGCTTTTGGACCCTCGCATAGTTCTTGAAATCAGAGTCCCTTTTCAGGTCCCGCAAGATAGTACAGCACCCTCACAAAAAGGACCCATAGAAAGGGACCCCGATTTCGAGAACTACCCACATCCTCGTATTGGATGAAAAGAAACCGAACCCGGACGCTGTAGGGGCCTTAACAATTAGAATAAGGCTTTGGGAGATATTATACTAGAATTATAAAAAGGAGCCCCCCAAATAACATGGGTAACTATTAAGGCTCCTTTGTACTAGATTTATAACAAGAAGCCCCCTAAATAACATGGGTAACTATTCAGGCTAATCTGTTCTCTCAACCCTATACCCCCCAAACCCCTAAACCCC